ACCCTTTTTCAAGAGAACACCGGCAGATTCCAGTCCCGTGATGTCCCTTAAAATTCCATAGAATCTAACAAAACTCTCAAGAGTATCATGAGTAAACCTTACGACTGTTTAAAAAAACTGTTTTGTCGAGCTCTGTTTCATTAGTTTAAATGTCAGAAGGAAAAAAGTTTTTTCCAAGACATGTAAACCTTTAGTGGAAATACATTTTTAATACAGACAACGGTTCTATTCGTCTGACGATGAGAAGAAAAAGAAAGCCGTAAAAGCAAGAGATATTATACTTTATTATTTTTTGTCATAAAAATGACTTAAACCATTTTGTCGTTGATCAATCGACATTAGCTGCTTGTGCAATAGCAACTTCACAAAATGTTTTTATGCAATTAGTGTACATTGCGATTTTATTTCCATCTTCCAATAAGAATGTTTTAAACACTGCTTAGTTATATATTTATAGTTTCCATCCAGCTCAAAATCAGTGACAAAAAACGAACTCGAATCATTACAGAAATTTCTATATGATAGATGTAAAACAGAAAAAGAAAAATTCATCGATACTCATCAGAAGAAATTAATAAAATTAAATCATGGACCAGTAGGTCAAGATTACGAACATCTTAAAACTAAACTTGTACATAATATCTCCTCATATAATCTTACATTAGAAGAAGAACGTCTATTATGTAGAGGATGGAATTTCTGCATAGAGAACAAATTAACTAATTTTATTGATTTTAAAACGGATATGGAATTAAATGCATATAAAATTCAGAAGAGTTGTCATGCTAATGTATTCACCACACTATGTAGAAAATTAAATAATTATTCGGATATTTTTATGAAAGCTGTTAAGAATAAAAAGATTCGTAATATAAGTGATGATGAATTTAACGCAAATAAATCTTTAAAGAATAATAAAAATATTATAATTTGTCGTGCTGATAAAGGAAATGCTATAGTAGTAATAGATAAAATTGATTACATTAATAAAATGAATGACATTCTTAAACGGAAACAATTTAAAAGCGCTAAAGAATCAATATTAAAAGAAAAAGAAAAATTTATGAATAAATATATCTTAAAATTACATAATGATAAGGTGATTGATAAAGAAACATATTGGAAAATTCATGCTACTGGTTCTTCATATGCTACTATGTATGGTCAACCAAAAATTCATAAATCAAATTATCCTGTTAGACCTATTATCTCATCTATAGGTTCATATATTCACGATCTCTCAAAATATCTATATGATATTATTAGAAATAATAGACCATCAAAATCATTCTCTTATGTTCGTGATTCATTTGAATTTGTTAAAAAGGTTACAGGAATTACAACGAGTTTAAATCAAACAATGGTAAGTTTTGATGTAGATAATTTATATACAAATGTTCCCGTACATGAAGCGATCGAGATTACCGTAAATATGTTATTTAAAACAACCAAATCACCTAATATTATTTACACTCGTTCTCAATTTAAAGAATTGTTAACCATTGCTGTATGTGATATTCCATTCAGATTTTTTGATAAAATATATACACAAGTCGATGGTGTTGCAATGGGGTCACCCTTAGGACCCATCTTAGCAGATTTATTTATGTCTAATCTTGAACAAAAATTAAATAGATTTTCTACTAATAAACCACTAACATGGATTAGATATGTTGATGATATTTTCTGCATCTTTAAGAATAA